TCTCTTTGTAAATCAGAGTGGGCTCCTAGTTCTCATGGGTGTAGTAGTCTGGGTTAGTACTTCAGGGAACAAACTTGTCCTTATTTTTTATCATCCTGTTTCACAGACTTTCATTATATTACTATTCCCTGTCTACTTCTTTCTTTCCAGCCTGAAACATCCTATCCTTTTGGTTTGGTTTTCTGTTCCTTAGTCTTTGGAGCTGATTCCATGAAGTAGGACACATCATGATTTCCTATAAGGAAACATTTCCTTTTGTTCCTTCCTAGTGATCCTTAGCATTTTCTTAGCCATATATCAGAGCAGCATATAGGGTCCTTGTCAGAAAGCAGGCTCTAGGGCTATCTTGGAGGTAAAAAGTTGTAAATATGGTAATATGGTTCATATATAGTTTGTAGGTATAATTGTAAAATATAATTGAGGATTCTTCCCCTTAAACCACGGGTCCCCAAACTTTTTAAACAGGGGGCCAGTTCACTGTCCCTCAGATTGTTGGAGAGTGCACACTGTGGGCCTGGGACGAGTCAGCTGCCAAGCAGGGCAGGCAGCAGTGGCAAAAACACCCCGAGGGCGGGATAAATGTGCTAGGCGGCCGCATGTGGTTCACAGGCCATTGTTTGAGGACACCTGCCTTAAACATACTGCCTTATATTTGCCCACATTGAAGCTTTAGATGTTCTTTTAGGTTACTCTTAAAGATAAGGAGGATGATTTGAGGTAGTCTTAGAGAAAGTGAATTTTTTTTTTGTTTTTTTTTTTGAGACAGAGTCTTGCCCTGTCACCTGGCTAGAGTGCTGTGGGATCACCCTAGCTCACAGCAATGTCAAACTCCTGGGCTCAAGGGATTCTCCTGCCTCAGCCTCCTGAGGAGCTGGGACTATAGGCACCTGCTACCAAACCCAGCTAATTTTTCTAATTTTATTTTATTTTATTTTATTTTTTTTTTGGAGACAGAGTCTCGCTTTGTTGCCCTGGCTAGAGTGAGTGCCATGGCGTCAGCCTAGCTCACAGCAACCTCAATCTCCTGGGCTCAAGCAATCCTGCTGCCTCAGCCTCCCAAGTAGCTGGGACTACAGGCATGCGCCACCATGCCCGGCTAATTTTTTTTTTTGTATATATATATATATATTAGTTGGCCAGTTAATTTGTTTCTATTTATAGTAGGGACGGGGTCTCGCTCTTGCTCAGGCTGGTTTCAAACTCCTTACTTCGAGCAATCCACCTGCCTCGGCCTCCCAGAGTGCTAGGATTACAGGCGTGAGCCACCGCGCCCGGCCAGGTAATTCTCTTCAAAGTTTGCTTTTTCTATATGCTTGAGTGTTAATGTGTATATAAGAGGGAAATGGGATAATTTGGTTTCTGAACAAAGAGGAGGCACATGTAAAGTTCTCAAATACATTTTTAGAATAGTATCTAATCATACATTTTTAGAATAGTATCTAATCATATAAGAAACTGGGATGAGGAGTAAAAAAACTTGGGTCCTGGTGTTGAGAGACCAAACTATCCCTTTTCTTCACGTCTACACCCAAGCAGCTGAATGTTGCAGGAGAAAAACCATAGCAGGCCAACTGGTTCTACTTTAAACTCATGATCACAAACCTCAAATGGGTACCCATTGCCTCCAAGGCAGTCCTACTAAGACCTTGCTTTCCCTCCCTGTGTTTACATCCATCTTCACCTTTGTTTTTTTTTTCTTGAGATACAGTCTTGCTCTGTTCCCCAGGCTAGCATGCCGTGGTGTCAGCCTAGTTCACAGCAACCTCAAACTCCTGGGCTCAAGCGATCCTCTTGCCTCAGCCTCCCGAGTAGCTGGGACTACAGGCATGCGCCACCATGCCCAGCTAATTTATATATATATATAATTTTTTTTTAGTTGTCCAGCTAATTTCTTTCTATTTTTAGTAGAGACAGGGTCTTGCTCTTGCCCAGGCTAGTCTCGAACCCTTGACCTGGAGCGATCCACATGCCTCTGGCCTCCCAGAGTGCTAGGATTATAGGTATGAGCCACCGCAACTGGCTCCATCTTCACCTTTGTTGCCCTTATCCATCCCTCTTCCTGTCCAAGGTTCCTCCCTGTTTTTTTATATCTCTCCATGGATTTCACTCCTAGGGGAGTCAAGCAGGCTTCTTTCTCCTGTATCACTCCCAATGGCACACAAACATGCTCTAGAACCCTGCCATCTTTTAAAACATCTCCCTTGACCCCACATCCTTGTACACTTATTCCCAAATTTCTGTTCCCTTCATAGCAACACGTCTCTCAAGTTGCCTACATGTGTTGCCTCCATTTCCTCACTTTCCCAGTCACTCCTCAACCCATTCAGTCAGGTCTACATCCCTGATTTACCCACATGGATCAAGCCGAGGTCACCAGTGGCATTCTCTAGTGATGTCCAAGGTGATAAATCCAACAGCCATGTCTTTGATCCAAGTTTACCAGACCTTTCAGCAGTATTAGACACAGCTGATGCCTCCCCCACCTGAAACCTTCTCTATCCTTCCATCCCACAACTCAACACTCTTTTTTTCTTGAGACAGAGTCTAGCTTTGTTCCCCAGGCTAGAGTGAGTGCCCGTGGCGTCAGCCTAGCTCACAGCAACCTCAAACTCCTGGGCTCAAGCAATCCTGCTGCCTCAGCCTCCCGAGTAGCTGGGACTACAGGCATAAGCCACCATGCCCGGCTAATTTTTTCTATATATTAGTTGGCCAATTAATTTCTTTCTATTTATAGTAGAGACGGGGGTCTCGCTCTTGCTCAAGCTGGTTTTGAACTCCTGACCTCGAGCAATCCGCCCGCCTTGGCCTCCCAGAGGGCTAGGATTACAGGCGTGAACCACAGCGCCAACTCCACTCTTGATTTCCCTGTCTTCCTGGATGCTCCCTCCCAGCCTCCTACTCCATTACCCTCTCTCTCTCTCTCAATGTTGGAGTGTCCCAGGATTTGGCCTTGGAATTTCTCCTCACTCTTTCCTCCAAGCCAGGGATCATAAACTCACAGCCCACATGTGTGGTTTAATCAGCTCATGAAGTTTAAAAACATCTGATTTAGTTGCCACCATCAACTTTTTTACATTTTAAAAATCCAGATTTCTGATTCCTTTAAGAAAAAACACAGTATCTGTCAATATTGGGCCAGCATTCCCACAACGGCACAATCAGCTGGATGGAGAAGCTGCTTCCTTGAAGCTGGGTCCGTTTGTTATCTGCGATATCTAAGAGAGTTGGGAATACAGTCGTGAGTCATATTCCCATAAGTACTCTTCCCGGAGCCACCAGAATACCTTGCAGTCTCGGTCAACTTTACCGCTGGTTGGGTAGAGTCCGCCGGCCCTCCTGGGGAGGAGGAGGGGCTGAAGGACTCCACCCACAGAGAACTTAGCACCCCGGTAAAGACAAGAAATGCACGTTTTAAATACAGAATTACACTGCGCCAAATACAGGAAGTCTTTTCAGTGCTGCGCCAATACGGATAGTCCTTTCAGTAAAAGACAACTGCTCTGTGGTCATCTGAAAGCATCAAGTCTGGTCTTCCGCTGCCTCTCCGGGCTGAGGCGGCCTGGGGACACCAGGAGGAGGCCCTCGCCCTCTTCTCTCGCACCCGGTTTCAGGAGGCCCTCTTCGAGAATGGAAAGATCACCGAAAGCCGCCGAGCAAGGACAGACCTTCTTGCTGTCACTGGATTGTGTTCGAGCAGCTGGGAGCGCGCGGGGACTGGCCGTGACTTACTCGGTGGCCGGCCGCCGTGCGGCGTTCAGAGGGCGGGGCGGGCCCGGCTGGGGCGGAGACTGGGCGGGGCGGGCCCAGGAGCTTCCTCGGCCCCACAGCCCGGCCCCGCGCGCGCTTTCTCCACCCACCCCCACTCCTCCAACCCTTTACGGGTTCAGGAAGCCGCAGACAGCAGCTAGGGAATCAGGTCAAACGGGCCAGGACCCAGGACTGCCCAGTGGCGGCAGCCTCCGCCCAGGAAGCCGCACCCAACAGGAACCCGGACGCCGCGGCGCCCGCAGAGCCCACGCGCGACCGGGCGAGGGCGCGGGAGGGCGCGTGCGGCGTGACGACGCGACTCGCGGCGCGTCCCGTGACGCCATCGCGCCCGCTTTTGAAAGTTGGCGCCCGGGGCCGCCTCCCATGCTGCCCTGCGCCAACCCCTCCCCTCACCTTTCCTCCCCCGCCCTCCACTCGCCGCCCGGCCGGCCCCCCCCACCCGTCCCTTCCCTTATCAGCACCCGCGGCCCCGGCAGCGCCGACGCAGGCGCACTGCACCGCGCCGCCGCCATTTTGTGTCCGAGCCTGTGGAGCGATTAAACCGTGCGCGGAGCTGCTTCTTTGGCGGCAGCGGCGGCGGCGGTAGCCGGTGCGGGCGCGCAGAGCTGGCCGGGGACGCCAGGTGGCCGGAGCGGTGGAGCGGCGGCGGAGCGGGCGCTGCGGGGGGTGTGGCGCGGAGGTAAGGGGGCCCGGGGTGGAGGAGGTTTCGCGGGCCGCCTCTAGGTGTCACGATGGGGCCGCTCCGGTCGGCGCTGGCTGCAGCCCGGCGCCAGCGCCGCCGCCGGGGGGTGTTTGTCTCCCTCTACCGTCCCTGCTGCGGCGCGGCCGCCGCCATTGCCCGTCGCCGCCGTGGCCCGGCCGTCCCCCCACCCCCACCCCCGCCTGCTAAGCCTCCCTCTTGGCGGCGCGCTAGGCCTCGGGCGGCGGCGGCGACAGAGGCCCGCGCGCCCGGCGACTCCATTTTCCTTCCTTTGTCTCTGCCCTCGAGGCCGGCTCTTGGCCCGGCCGATCGCCCAGCCGCGGCCCGCCCTCTGCCCTCCGCCCCTCCCGCGGCGGGTGGCCTCAGCCGAGGCGCTATCTCCGCGCCCGGGCTTCGGCTACCGCCTCGCTCAGGAGTCCAGACCCACTGCCGCCGAGCGCACAACCGAGTCCCGGTGCCGCATGAGTGTCGGGCCTGGGCCGACGCGTCTCGGGCTGCCCCTCCTCCAGTCCTCCCGGTCCCCGGAACCTACCCGGCCGCCCTGCGTGCCTCCCTGGCTGCTCGGCGGTCGCTCGCAGTCCGCGCGTCACCGCTGCTGGTCTCCGTCTCCGCCGAGTGGCGCAGGCGGCGCTGCTGCGGCTGCGAGCAGAGGGACCCCAGAGCTGCCGAGAGCTCCCTCTGCAAGGCTGGCTGAGCTGCTCGCACCTCTACGCCGCCTGAGCGGGCGGGGGGACGCGCGCTCGCCGCCCCCGCTGGGCCCCGCTGCGCCCCTAAACTCGCGCTCGGGCTCCTCGCTCGACCCGACCCGTGCGGCCCCTCACCAGTGGCGGAAAAGACTCGAGTTCCGCACCAAATAGTTTTTCTCCAGCCAGGCTCGGATTTCCCAGCCTGTTGGAGTGATAGCAGCCTGACTTTGTGCGCTCAGAGATCTCAAAGGGACCGAAACTTAATTTGACTCTGATCTCAAGTAACGTGACAAATTCCTGAATTTGGAGTATAGGCTAAGTTGGTTCAGGCGACCCTTGAGTCCTCCCACCCACGCTTTAAAGTGTCCTGACGGTAACTTAGTATTACACTTCTTAGTACCTGATGCTCTAGGCGAAAGCAGTTCTGCCTCGGGATTGTGCAACCCGATCTAAAGCGCCAGTAGGGCAGAATGAATTTATTCTTGACTGGTAATTTGCCCATATGCTGAAATATGAGGGTTGATGTTGTAATTGAATTCTGGGTCCCTCGCTTCAGATGGTTTATAAATATCTGCGTCTAATGTAACTACTCTTTAGTAGTTGACCTCCTGTAGACCTGAGTTCAGCATTAAGTAAACATTCTCAGACGTAAACTCTTTATACTTTAAGTTTAGATGAACTAGGAAAGTTAAAATTCCATAGCTGCATAGGTGGGGAAGGAAGTTAACAGGGCATATACTTAAATTTACTCTGTCCTTAAGTCTTCTTTCATCATTAAAAAGCTTCCTGTTGAATTGCTGAAGTCTTCTCTTTTTGGTTTTTCCTTAAATATTCTAGTACCTTAATATAGTACTGTGCAGCAGTTGATGTATCAGTTCGGGTTGCTTTGAAGAGAGAAAAGTCTAGTTTAACATTTTTTTAGGAAGGAAAGCTATGTTAAATTTAGGAGGAAATTAAAACAGCCTTTGCTAAACAAAGTTGTCTGGTCGGCGGTATATAATCTCAATCTGTAGGTTCTTGTAGCAATCTGCCTCCATAGGCCACTCTTTCAACATCCCTTCTTTGAACCCTACAAAATGTTTCTGCTGCCCCTCCCCATAAAATTGCACTAAATAATTCTCCTAGTGTTGATGGAGTGTTGGGTTTGGGAATAGAACCACCTTTAATTATCTAACATATTAGTCCACTTGTGTAATTCATTGCATTCTTTCGTGATTTTTCAGTTTTTGTTTAGAAATTGTGGTTAAGTGGCATATTCATTAAAATAGCTTCATGCAGGTTAAAAATTAAAATGAGCAAGGTTTGTAATTGAGCCAAGAGTAAAGCTTGTTTTCTCAGGTTAGCATTGTGTTCCACAGATGGTATTTTGCTTCTTGGTTTGGTTGTTCTGTAGGCAGTCATCAGCTTCTTGGTCTTATTCATCATTTATGCTGTTTGAATAATATAGACCTTGACCACACAGTTGCTATCCTTTGAGATTCCTGTATGCCAGGGATTATACTTTTTTTTTTTTTTTTTTTTAGAAAACGAGATCTACAGAGAGAATAAATTGAGGATGAATTGATATGTCAGAGTAACCCAAAGGACCTAGTTACTTAAATCAGTGGTATGAGGAAGATTAAAATAGGAATGAAAAAAGGAAGAAAATACTGCTTATTTAAGAATAGTTGTAACCCACTCTTTTCAACCTACATAAGAAAATTTAGGAGGTGTAAAAGTTATCCTTAAGATGTACTCAAATTCTAAGAGCTTTAGGATTTTGTTGGAAATGACACAAAAATGAGGGCACTCACCTGGGACTTCTCTGAGTGGCTTGGGGAGTTCCTTGGCAGAGGCCACCTGTGGCTGACTAAGGCCCTGGGGCGGAGTCCTGTGGCAGAACCTTGCACAGTAGTGCCTGCTGGCAGAAAGTCACCTCTAGAGACTATTTTTCTGCTTCAGGGATGCTGCTGGCATCACGATTGCCCCACATCATCTATTTTATAGACTTCTTGTTTTTTTAAACCAGGCTATCTGTCTACTTTATTTAACTCTCTTGGCTCCAGATGACTTCAGGCAGTTTTGCCAAAAATTAGGTCCTTCTTCAGATAACTAAGACTTGTATAATTTAGGAGTTTGTAAAAGAATATACAGGTTTAGAAAGAACAATAATGACAAATAATGTATAACTTTGAAAACCATGATTCTCAGTTGACTATGTAGATGTGTCATACTACATTTGTTTATTTTTTTAATTTAGAGACAGGGTCTTGCTTTGTCACCCAGGCTGGAGTGCAGTGGTACAATCAATCATAGCTTGCTGTATCCTCAAACTACTGGGCTCAGCCTATCCTTCTGCCTTAGCGTCTCAAGTAGCTAGGACTACAGGCGTACCACCACACCCAGCTTTTTTTGGTAGAGACTGAGTCCTGCTGTGTTGCCCAAGCTGGTGTGAACTCCTAGCCTCAGGCAATTCACCTAGCTCACATTTGTTTTTTTAAACAACTCTAAACTTTCTGTAGTCACTATCTTCATGTCTTCCCAGTGGTTATCTTTGTGCAGTTTCTCTGTGATTTAGTATTTGAGTGCAAAGGTGTGATATTGCATATAGATTAACATATAGCCCAAGGGTAAGTATACATTTCCCACATACATACTTTATCCCTTTTGGTCACTGTTAGAGTTTTCAGGGGCATAAAATTTCATTCCCTTTGAGGCATGCTAATGATGGTATATGGACTCCAATACAAAAGTGTTTCTTGGACTAAATACACTAATCCTCTATTTGTGTTGTTACAAATTGCCTCTCAGGGAGAATTTTTTTTAGTTTCATCGAAGAACGTATTATATCAGCTTAGTTTGGTGGGTTTTAGTTTATTATGAGAGGGTTTCCTCTTAGATGTATCTCATATGCTAAATTTTCTGGAAACTCTTAATTCAAATTTAGCTCTTTCATTTTACTTAGGATTTTCTTTTTTTCTATAGAGGTAAGTTCCACTCTACCATTGCTTGAAGCTTGACAGTTCATTTTGTAATTTAGGGGGAAAAATGTCAGCTAATAAGATATTCCATTATTTGACTAAAAAAGATATTTTATTACTGTGCTTGTAGGATTTTCAAAGGTCAGTGAAAGCTTCTCCCATAGTTTTCTTACTAAACTGAAAAGTACAGTCCCCGTGGTGGTCTAAATTAACTTAATCAGTAAGACCACTACTTGTTAAAGATAAGGAAATAAACTGTTAAAGGGCTGGGGTGATTACTGCACCTATAAGAATTAATTTTTTGGTAGTGTAAATACATGTGCTTGTTATTTGGTTGCAAAATTATAGTGGAGTACTATTGTGATACTCACAAATCTTTAGTCCCTTATGTATTCAGCAGATGTCTAAAAAAATAATTGTTTTGTTATTGGCTTGGTAGACATTTATGGAATGGCTCAGTTTGTGACATGACATATTAATAAGCGTTTTGTTTTGTTCCCAATTTTATCAGTCTTGAGTTTGCCCTCGTTTTATTTTTCATAGCATATGTGCATTTGTGTGAATTTAAAGTTCATAAAATGATTTGTGTTTCTTTTTTAGAATGATCACAGACCTGGAGCCAAAGAACAAGATGCATTAGTGGACAGATTGCTGACCAGGGGCTTGAGAGCTGGTTTCTGTTTTCCCTCCTCAAACTGACTTTGCAGCCACGGAGAGGTAAGTGCTATTTCCATTTCTTGGTCTTAAAAATGGGAGTAATATTACCCTCCTGGGGTTATATTTGCTGGGTGATTTTTGAGTATAGGAGATTCAGAACATCAGGTGATTGAGAGCATACAGGCTTTATAATCAGAGAGTTCTGGGTTTGAAACTCTGTACTACCACATACTGGCTGGGCGATGCTGGGCAAGTTACTTAACCTGTCTACTCCTTCAGTCCTTACTTGTGGGAGAATAATGATGCCAATTTCAGAGGCTATTCCTAGAGTTAGTAAGAGTGTGTGTAAAGCATTAAGTACCACTCTAAGTATCTAAACAGGAACACCCCAAGAAATGGTGGCTGTTTTTCTGTAGTAACCCTTGGAATGTATATTTTGACTATTGGCAAATGACCTGAAAAGTCCATGGCCTACGGCAAATTTGTAACTTTGATGAGAAACAGATGGAATCCTGTTCTTGGGAAAGCTGTTATCCTGGATAAAAATTCTTAATTAATTTGAGTGAGCTCAGCTGATGGCCCATGTTTGCATCAGATTGTGAGAGTCATTATCAATTTACTTTGGCTTATAATTTGTACAATAAAATGTAATAGACATTATATGGAATTTAAATAGGCCTCTCATAAATATTAGGGTCTGCTGTGCTTTGGGATATTGTAAACAACAAAGTAGCGTTCTGATGTAAAAATTATCTCTTCTTGGGCTACCAGAAAGCACATCTCTTTTATACCCTAGAACAATGTGAAAATAATTTTTTTTTTTTTTTTAGACAGAGTCTCACTTTGTTGTCCAGGCTAGAGTGAGTGCCGTGGCGTCAGCCTAGCTCACAGCAACCTCAAACTCCTGGGCTCAAGCGATCCTCCTGCCTCAGCCTCCCGAGTAGCTGGGACTACAGGCATGCGCCACCATGCCCGGCTAATTTTTTATATATATATCAGTTGGCCAATTAATTTCTTTCTATTTATAGTAGAGACGGGGTCTCGCTCTTGCTCAGGCTGGTTTTGAACTCCTGACCTTGAGCAATCCGCCCGCCTCGGCCTCCCAAGAGCTAGGATTACAGGCGTGAGCCACAGCGCCCGGCCTATTGTGAAAATAATTTAATTGTACTTGTGTAATGGCAAAAAGGAGTGTAGAGGTGGAAATTACAAATGCCAAAATTAGATAAGCTTATGTGAATGAATCATCTAAGTGACTACTAAGATTTGTCAAGCTGTGCGTGGAGCAAATAGAGAGGAGGAGGAAATAGGAATGAAAGTTCTTGTCTATTCTTCAAATCTTTATTTTCCACATGAGCATCTTGGTATCTTGCTAGATGGAAAGGACAAGGTCTGTGTGGTAGTGTTCTCTCTCTCCAGAAATAATTTGTGCCCTGCAGGTTCTTCTAGGAGTATTGACACTGAGTACATACTAATAAGCTACTGAAAAAAGAAGCACTACTGATTTGAAAAACTGTTCCAATACCTAACCTTAAGAATTTAGGGAATGGGTTTATAGGAACATGTTGATCACTTTTAAGTGTTATGGCTAGCTTAGATCCCTGTTTCTCAAACTAGAATGTGAATACCCTTAGGGAGGGAGTATAAGGTGGTATGATTCTGGGGTACTTGAAGTCACAAGATAAACATGACCCATCTTCTTGGGGCTTTAATTATGCTCATTGAGGGGGCAGTGAGCTTGAACTATGTAATTTAACTGGTAAGAAACTAAAAATATTGTTATATTAAAACAAATACACATTTTTGTTTTCTTTTTGTTTGTTTTTTTTGAGACAGAGTCTCACTTTGTTGCCCAGGCTAGAGTGAGTGCCGTGGCGTCAGCCTAGCTCACAGCAACCTCAAACTCCTGGGCTCAAGCAATCCTCCTGCCTCAGCCTCCCGAGTAGCTGGGACTACAGGCATGCGCCACCATGCCCGGCTAATTTTTTATATATATATCAGTTGGCCAATTAATTTCTTTCTATTTATAGTAGAGACGGGGTCTCGCTCTTGCTCAGGCTGGTTTTGAACTCCTGACCTCGAGCAATCCGCCCGCCTCGGCCTCCCAGAGAGCTAGGATTACAGGCGTGAGCCACCGCGCCCGGCCCAAATACACATTTTTGGAACAGAATGCAAGCTGTAGGACTAAGATAACATAGATTTTCACCAGAACGAGGTATGAGTACCTGGGGATGATAAGTGCTCTCTCCCTGGTACTACAGTGGAAACATTTAAGAAGCACTACTTTTTTTGTTGTTGAGACATAGTCTCGCTCAGTTGCCCAGCTACAGTGCCATGGCGTCAGCCTAGCTCACAGCAACCTCAAACTCCTAGGCTCAAGCAATCCTTCTGCCTCAGCCTCCCAAGTAGCTTGGGACTATAAGCATGCGCCAC